TTAATACCTTCGGGTGATTGCAGAGCTTCTTGAGAGCTGTAATATATGCTAAAATTTTAGATTGTTTTGTTCCTTCAGTAATAGCCCTTTTTACCTGATGATGTAAAAGAAACAATCAGTATTTTTTGCACAATGGACAAGAGAAGATGAGACACCATATTTGACTAGGAACAAGAGAAGACACACATTCTTTGATTGTATAAAATGATTGTACAGCTCCGACTGCAATGGGGTGAGTTTGACAAACGACTTCAACGATCTGCAATATCCAAAATCAAAATTATCATACTTCAACAGCAAACTCACAAAGAAGCACAAATAAATTACTTAATTACATAAGAAATGCATTTTACATTCCACAATCAAAAAACATATATATAGAGTAACATAAGCCTGGTAATAAAAAACACAAGAATATTTCTGGTGGAAATTGACGCCCATGATCCGTCTAAACTCTAAGATATATAGCACCATTGTTTTAGGTGTTCCTCGGAATTTAATGAAGAAGTTCTCAAAGTATACCTATCTCAAATAGACAAAAGAAGAACTTGACGGTCCAATAGTAGCCCAATCAAGTGAATCGACTTATTGCATCATATAAAACAAATTGTAACACATACTGGAGCTGTAACAGTTATACCTTTGGTGGTAAGTGATTCGATAACAAGGCATTAGTTCTTCTCAATATAAACTGGGAGAAAGGCAAGAAAAGAATCAGTCAGCACTTTAGAAAAATAGTGAGTGATTGGTGCAAATTCTTTAATTGATAAATAATACAGCTTTTTATAGATAAGTGAATGTATTAAGTACAAAGTATAGTAGCAGTCTACTAGCCAATTCACATTCTTCAAAAGCAAAAAACTGGTGCCACATCACTCTAAGATTGGCCACCCTTTTACTATTTTTCTCTGTTTTTCGCCAAAAGTGAAGTAATATTGTAATAATATGTAGTTTGTAATTTGAGGGAAACCATTTTAATAGGAAATTTTACCTGATTTACTATGGCACTCAATTCCTCTGATCTTGAATGACCAACCTTTTTCTCCTCATCACTGGCTGTGGGTTCTCTTCCATTCAGAATAGGTGCCTTGAATTGTAAATCACAAATCATTACAATCAGTAAAGGAGATCAAAGTCAAACACACTATCACCTCAGATAACATGCAAAATAACATTGAAGTTATGGTTGAAACCAAAAGATTGTTCTCATGTGCAAATTTCTATGCCACACAAACAATTTATTAAGACATTGAAAACTTAAGTTATATGAGATGATTACAAGTAGCTAAGGTAAGTCAGTAACCATAACTTGCATGTAGTTCAAGCAGCATTTATATATGTGCACTAAATATCCAGTCATCAAAGGTTTTTTTTTTATTTTTATTTTTTTAATATCACTGAGTGAATATTACTGGTGTGCATTACCTAAATCAAAAATTAATGGTAAGAAGAAAAAAAAATAAACTAATTAAAAGTAAACTAAATAAATAAAGAAAAGGCATACCTGATAATACCTCCGAAAATGTGCATCATCACCTAAGATTCCTGGATTAGTGAAATTGACCATGGCATAAAGCTCTTCAAGGTCATTCTGCAAGTAAAAATGCAAGGCTGTAATAAATAGAGGGGAGGGGGGGGGGATTGAAGGCATGTGACATTCCGAAATCAAAAGATTGTGAACCTGCATTGGTGTACCCGAAAGCAAGATGCGGCGTTTGCATACAAGTGAAGCCAATGCCTGCCACACAAGTAAGACACGCTTGATATGAAATAAAATTCCAAAAGACACAAGAATACAAGATGACAGATAAGGTTATAAATAATTAAATATTGCCTGCAGTAGTCAACCTTACACATACCTTGTTTGTGATTGTCTGACCATTTTTAAGCCTATGAGCCTCATCACATATAAGGAGGTCACATGATCCACTATGGCTAAATTTTGGAGCATGCATTCTAAATGTCTCGTATGAAACAATCAGCACCTGTGATAACATCAAGTAAAATTGGTGCATAGGTAGAATAAAACCAACCAAATAATCCTGGTAAACTTCACCTGTGTTTTACTGCGAGAATTTGTGAAATTCTCAATTGCAGATAAACAGTCCTCTCTGCTGCTTTCACAAAGAGCAATAAGATGAACTCTATCCTGCACCCACTTTTTGATTTCTGCCTCCCAATTGTTTACAAGACTTGTCGGAGTAACTATAATAGCCTTTTTAACCATAGGTTTCCCATCAAATCCTTGACAGAGAAGAGTATAAAGCAATGTGATCGATTGCAAAGTTTTTCCCAAACGGCACAAAAGATTCTTACAATTATCATACCATCCTTAATAATTTCCCACAAACGAGGACAATAGAAAAGAGTATTACCCCATATCATCAGCCAAAATGCATCCGAAGATATTGGCAGAAGCTTGTAACCCAGAGACACATCTGAACATGAACTGTACACCTTCTCTGCTTATAAGTTATAACAACTTTCAGAAATCAGAAATTACAAACAATTTTACCAAGCATCGAAGAGAAAGTAGGTTTAAATGCTTGAAAACCGCGACAATCATGACTGAGAATTTTTTTTATTAGAAAGTAATATTAAACAATTAGAGGACAGAATTAAAATGTGCTATTTGAGCTAGTCCTAAATTCAACAAACAGTCTTAACAACATTTGAATCAATTACCATTCCATCAATGCCAAGGTGCTAAGAACACCAACCAAGTAACTTCATTACATCAGATGAAGAGTTATACCTTTGATGGGGTCGAAGGAATCGAACGAGCAAGGAATCAACACTAATAGGGGACAAAACACTCCCTCCATCCATAGATTCTTCAGGTTGCCACAAAACCAACGGCTCGATCCCCGGAGGCAAATTCACAACTTCCTCCTGTTCATCATCCTCTTCAACTACTATTGGTTGAAATTTAACTAATGGAACCACATCAGAGCTGTTAGCGCCCCATGGGACAAATCGTTTACGAGCCGAAAGCCGCCGGAGTAAGTCCTCATTTGATTTACTCCAACCATTAGCAAATGGTGGCTTAAAAGGCTTCCTTGCTGAAAGAACTCGCGGAAGCGATGATTGTCGTTCCGCCACAAGATTCCCTCTATAATTCACCCAAATTAATCACAATTATGAACTTTAAATAATTTCGAAACTTATCACATTCAACCTAAATACTCAACTAACTAAAATCATCCAAAAACAAAATTAGTTGTTAGGTTAGTCCAAAATTCAATTAAAAATCGCAATAAAACCTAGAAAAATAGAAAATAATACAAAATCAGATGAAATTGAGGTTGAAATTAGGGTTTTGAGGGTGAAAAGAAAGAAATACCTAATTAGGGCAGCGACATTTTGAGATTTCAAATCGTTATCTTTAATGGCGACATAATTAACAGGTTTATCATCTTCTTCATCGGCAACTTCGAATACTTCGTTGAGTTCGTCATCATCGTCGTCGTCTTCAACCTGGAAATCTTCGCTTGAATCGGAGAGATCGGAAGCTAGATAAACTAGGTCTTCTTCGTCTTCCATTGAAGTGGTGTGATGTTGTGTTGAGGAAGGAACTAGTGAGCGCGGAGAATGTTGAGTCGGTACTCTCCTAGCCTACCTCTTAAAACTGGCGGCAAAAGTTGAAAATTCTATATTCCTTTTTAAAAACGACCGTTAATGTGTAGTTTAAGGTCTTATTTCTTCCTCTCATTTTTGTTAAAAAAGGGGCCGTCTCTAAATTACAATTCTATTTCTCTCTATTATGTGAACAATAAATGTTAAAAATAGGAATGTAATTTAGGGACGGAAGGAATACAAAACATGTGCAAACTTGAACAATAATTTAGAAAGTATAAATATGTGGAGTTAATTGATGGTGTTGAGTGATGGCAGCAGTTGTCGTGTTGTGGGCAAGAGAAGAGAAATGGTGGGGTTGCGGTTTGTGTTGTTGGTGCTACTTGGTGTATGCGGTGGAGGAGAGGCATGAATTGGTGATAGGTAATGGCGATTGATTGTGGTGCAGTTGTGGTGGGAAAATTTTAGGGAAAAAAGGGGAGAAAATGAGTCATTAAGAGTCTTGGTCAACTATGAAAAAAAAGTCAAGGTTGAGAATTTGATGGGAGATAGTCACTTGCAACATTTTACACTTTAATAGGTTGTTAATTACAACAATACATGTTTTTTTATTAGGTAGTTTTTTCGCAAATTTTAGATTTTAATAGGTAGTTTTTCAAAAAAAAAAAATATATATATATATATATATATATATATTTTATACGTAATACAAACTTATTTATTTGATACAATACATTACATATGCGAAATAAGTTCGAATCAACTTTATGGGTCACTTTTTCCAAGTTGAGCTATAGCAAAGGAATGCTAGTCGTTATGGGATGGGCTACATTGACAATTTCACAAAGGAAAACGAGAGAGGGGGTTCGAGAGTGACAAAGAAGCAAGGATCGGAGAGACAAATTAAAGAAAGAAAATAAAGGAGGGAAGGGAATTTTACAGGTGGGTGGCTGAGGGTGGTGCTAGGCGTGGCCAGATAACATAGGCAATTAAGTTTGCATGTATTGGAGAGAGCAAGAGTTGAAACGTGTAAGCACAACACGACATGACATGGGATCACGTGGACTTTAGCATGTCTAAATAGTTCTTTTAAAACTTTTGACACGTTAATTAGATCACAAGTTAACATATCGCAAGTGAGTTATTTTAACATGTCACAACATATAACGAATTAGTCATTTAGTCGGATCACAATAAGGTGTATCCCAGAATTAACCACATCCATCTTTAATCACTCCTTCTATATAAAGTGGATCATATATTACTACTTTTAAAAGTGTAGTAATTAAGCTTATTAGCTTGAGGGACCACAAAAGGTTACGTATTCGTGATTTCGTGTAACACACACTTGGAACAATGCAAAACAAACGATATGTGAAACATTTGGGCTCATCACTATAAATTTCAAAGAAGGGTATCAATAGTAAGGCAATTTAGAAGTAGCTAAGCAAAGAATATTATCTCAGTGACCACAAGCTATTCACGCTAAAGAATGGAAGACGAGAAAGAGATAGAAATAATGGGCGTACCACTAATGGCTGAAGGTATGAAGATAGTTTGTCTGAAATCAGATTACAACAACAAATTTTTGCGTTACAAGTATGAAGATGTTCAAACACATGGTCTTCTTCAGTTTGCTGCTAACCAAGTTATGGACCCATATGCCCAATTTGAGGTCGAGAAATCCAACACTTATGATGGTCTTGTCCATCTCAAATCCCGCTACAATAACAAATATTTTGTCAGGTACGTATGCATTCTTTTTTTAATTAACTCAGTGGGCTAGACGGTTAGTAATAAGGGTTTAACCTCATGACTTAAAGGTCATGTTATGAAATTGGGATAATATCCCACCCAAGGCTTTTGAGGGCATGAATTCTTTCACCTCATAAGTCTCTTTCTACCTTTATTTCTCATTATTTATAACGATTAGATACTTTCTACTCACATTTTATGTCAAAGCTATCGTTGTAAATAATAAGAAACATGGATAGTATAAAAATAATCAGATACTGATAATTTTACTCAAACATTAGTATTAATAATGATCAATTATTTACTAATAATTCCGTTAATACCGGATTATTTCTTTGTTTATCCTTTGAAGGTGGTCGCCTAATCACTACTGGATTACTGCATCAGCTAACAAAGTAGATGAAAATCAAAGCAATTGGAGTTGTACATTGTTCAAGCCAATATATTTCGGTGATAATAATGATGATACACAAAAAATGCGACTTTTACATGTCCAACTTGGTCATTACGCATGTTTGTTGAGGCCTAATGCCTCTTTTGATTCATGCTTATTTGCAGGGTCAAAAGAAATTGATAATGACTCATGTGATGTTTTCACTTTTGTAAACTGGGAATCACTGTTTAATTTACCCAAACATGTTGCATTTAAGGGGGAAAATGGTAAATATTTAGGTGCATTTGAACACAAAGGGATTCCATGTCTACAATTTTCTTATGACAATCTTGACAATCCTAAGGTCGCCCACGAGTTGTTCGAAGCTCCTGATGGTACACTTTGCATAAAATCGAGTCATGTTGGAAAGTTTTGGAGAATTGGTGACGGTGATTGGATTGTAACTGATGCAAATGATCCCCGCGGTAGTAGCAACACTGGTGCAATGTTTAGGGCTGTTGTGCGTGACGTTAACGTCGTTGCACTTCTAAACATGTCCAAAACTTGGTTTTGTAAGAGATATACTCTCAATGACAAGGAAAGCTTCCTGAATGCTGCTACTCAAAATGTTGACGAATTTGCAATACTAAAGATGATTGATTTGGGAACAGGGTTATCCTGTGTATAAAAGCAAGACTTGTCTGTGGAATTGTTTAGGCGTATCGCCTCGTTGTGATTCATCGAATATCTTTCCGTTTCCTACTTTCCCATTTGGGTTGGGAACCAAGTTTGGTGTGTGGTCTGTTGTGCACTTTTTTTTTTTAAATAATATATTTCTTTTAACCTTCTTAAGTTGTAAAATTTCTTTTCGGATATGAATTCATATATTAAATATTTGGGTTTTTTCTAAACTATGCCCCTTAGGTTATTGAAAATCTAAGTTGTACTCATGCTTTTTCAAAGTTATAAGTCGTGCCCTCCACTTCAAAATATTTTATCAACAATACCCTTTGACAGTCATATCTGTTAATGGAAGCTAAGTTATTTTATCGACAATGATGTCATGACATTATTTATTTGACACGTATTCCATTCTAATTGGTTTAACACTTTAAAAAAATTAAAAAATCAGAAAATAAAATAATAAAAAAGGTTATTGTTAACGTCAAAAGTTATTGTTAATAAAAATTAGTGAGGTTGAGGGCACAACTTAGACGTTTGAAAAAGCATGGACACAGCTTAGAAAACGAAGAAGTTTAGGGGCATAACTTAGAAAAACCTTAAATATTTTTTTGTTTTTTGATCGAATTTTAAATTCGGTATCTATCTCACCTAACCCATGCTCGGGCCTATTTTGGCATGAAAAGCATTTCTTTTGAAAATTTGGACACATCACATCATGCAGCAAGTGTGTTATTTAGACACACTCATACACCATAACATGTAGCAATCCATCAAGCAAAAAACAAATCCTCCATCAAAAGAGATAAGAAGAATTCGGTCTTTCATAAGATTAAAATCGTCCTAATAAAGATAATGAAAAGTCTTTACATTACTCGATAAAAAAATGACGTCCCTTTAAGAAAAGAAAGAGTTATTATAGACCTAAAAAAAAAAACTTGTTTATAATATGTGGACCATAATTGACACGTCAATTGTATATGTACATTATTGTCATGATTTTACACTACATCTTAAAGTGTACTCCCTTGATCCCTTTTTATTTCCGATCCATTGCTTATTTTTGGGTCAAAGTTTAAAATTTTTATAAGCATCCTTAATGGTTAATTGATAAGATCGATCGAGGTCATTGCTTGCAATTTCTAAATAGTTAGAGCTGAGTTGTTAGCTAGCCATTGTTGAGCTACAAGGGTTATACGTAGTTTTGATGAAACTACATAGCTCAACAAAGTTATATGTAGTTTCACTTTATCCAAAGTCACTTTGATATCACATGATTATCTTTTATAGTCTAGCGTAATTTATAATCAAAATTTGACACAAAAAATGTCAATGCAACAAAAATAAAAGAACAAGGGAGTCGTAATCATGAAAATAAAAGGTAACATGGGCATGTGAGTCGCAATTCAAACAACATGTGAAACACGTGAGCTTATTTACTCGGATTGCAATTTTGGTACGGACTAATAGTCCAGATACTCAACGTAACAGCATGCATAAGAAGTGGGTATAAATAGTATGGCAATTTGGAACAAACTATGCAAAGAAAATTAATACTAGTACTTGTAGAAGCTCAGAAAGTAGTATAAAGAAGAGAGATATTAAAAGATAATATAAAAATGGAGTCTGTACCAACAACGGCTATACCAACAACGGTTGCAAGTAAGGTAATCTGTCTGAAATCAGCCTACAATAATAAATTCCTGCGCTATAGGAATGACATAGATAGTCAAACATATGGCCTTCTTGAGTTTGCTGGTGAGGAGGTAACGGATCAACGTGCCTACTTTGAAATTGAGCAATCCAAGACTTATGATGGTCTAGTCCATGTCAAATCCCTCTACAATAACAAATATTTTGTTAGGTATGCATTTTTTTTTTTCAAGGCATCCGTTTTAAATTATTTATAAGGATTTGACAAATAGTGTTAGTATGTAGAGTATAATACGGAGTATCTAATCTTACGAATAATTCGAAACATATGTAGTATGTATGTACTTATGCTTTGTCATATATATATATATATATATATCACTTCCTCCGTTTTCTTTGGATATAATAATAATCTTACGAAGACTATTGATAAGGGTTTAACCTCACCACTTGAAGGCCAGGTTATTAGTTATAGGATAAAATCTCACCCAAGGCTCTGTGAGTCTTATCATTCTCCCTGGCTTACTCCTAAAAGAGGTCAAATTTAAAAGTTAGTCTGAATTAACCTTTTTCCAGGTCGTGTCATCATCACACTCAATTTGATTTTGGTTTGGTTATTGTCGGATCGAGTTGATTAAGTGAAGACCATGTCAAGTTTAGGTGATCGGGTAGTTTATTATCAGTTCTAATTCGTGTCATTTTCAAGTCATGTACAACTTGATATAGTTTTGTTTGGAGAACGACATAGTTCGATATTCTCTAAAAAAGGATCATGTACGTAAGTAATGTAACTATATAAGATAAATGATATATGTGGTGTTTAAGTTGAATACGGTCAATCATTCAATATCCAGTCGAGTTGATCAAATTTGAGTTAGGTTAGTAATAGGTTAAGTTGAATTTGGTCGGTTCAGTATTGATGAGTTGAATGAATCCGGGTTTCAATAACTTAAATTTGGTTTGGCCGGGTCATTCTGGGGTCCAAGTCAAATCTGGCTCAGATTAATAATTTGTGAGTTATATTCTGGTCACATCTATCATCTCCTGATCATGTCATGTTCAGTTTTAGGTCTTTTATTCTCAAGTTAATTTGAGTCTATGGTGGTATGATTTTACTTGGTTTAGAACTATTTTAATCAAACATTAAATTTTTCCAAAATAAGTCAAATTTTTTATTATTTTTAAATAATATAAACTTTGGGAGGTTTTCACTTTAAACAAGTAATTTAACTTACAAAATGAATGACCGGTCAAATTTCTTTTTTCTTTTTGATATTTTCATTTAACGATGTAATTAATTCTTAATAACAATTTTAATGATTATTAACTGACAACTAAAATATTTTTAAAATTTCAAAAATAAAATATTTTTAAAAGAAAAACACCATCTCCCCCACCAGCCACCGCTTTGCGCCAGCTACCTCCCAACCCCGGCGCTAGGGGTGTTCAAATCCGGGTACCCAGGTACCCGAAAACACGGGTACCCGGATTTTCGGGTAGTTCAAAACTCGACCCATGTCCCGACCCGAGAAAACCGGGTACCCGCGTTTCGAGTACCCGATTTTCTCGGGTCGGGTCAAGGGTACCCGAGTTTATTCACTTAACATTTTTGTCAAAAAAAAAATAAAAAATTAATTAATCAAAACAAAATAATTTACAACAGAATAACAAGATTAATTAACAATTTACATTACTTTAACCCACAATTATCAAGTATGCTAAAATCCAAAATTTACAATCAAGTACTATACCACCAATTATCACGAAATAGATCTATGAGCAAAGCTCTTTTTGATTGCTTAACCATCAATCATATCCTCACATACAATTGCATAAATTTCCATATCCTAATTCTACAGTTGTCTATTCAAGTTCTAAACTTTAATGGCCAAAATCAAGAATTATAATTCCAGATTATGGGTAAATTATATGAAAGCTCTCGGACCCATCTTCAAGAACCTGAATTGTCGGCCACCCTCAAGCTTTTTTCTCCACCGTAGCACCACAATCGCCGGCCACCATCTTCTTCATCGTGCGGTCTCCCACTCGGCCGTAGGGTATATAATTTTGATTTGATTTTGTTGTTGATTTAGGATTTTTTTTTTTTTTTTTTGATAGATTATGAGAGGAAAAGAAGTTTGCTCATATGGAGATTAGAAATTAGATATTAAGAGGAAGGAAGAAGTCAGATCCTTGAACTCTTGAATGAAGAACAAGGCAGGAAGAGAGAGAGAGAGAGAGAGAGTGTGAGGAAGAGCGAATTTTTTTTAACCCTAATCTCCAAACTGGTATAAGGGTATGGGCTGGGCCTTTGAGGAGTTTGAGGGTTTTTTTTTTTAAATATTTTTTTTTTCGGGAAACGGGTACCCGGGTATTAAAATATGCGACCCATGTCCCGACCCGGATAACATGCAATTTTCCCGGGTCGGGTACCCATCCCGAAAAAACAGTTTTTTTCTCCAAATTTCCCATCGGGTATTTGCCGGGTCATTGAGAAATCGGGTCGGGTTTTTTTGAACACCCCTACTCGGCGCCGACCGCGCCCAGATCCCACTTATCAATGCCGATGCGACCCCCCTCCCTCACGCATACGTCACCCCTCCTCTTTCCCGGCGCGAGAAGGAGGCTTTGGCGCTAGCATGTGGTCACCGGTGGGTCGTGCGCCAGGGAACAGATGCTGGGAGCCTTGTCAGGAAGAGGAAGGGGTGGTTGGTGGGGGAGGGGTTTTCTTTCGTAATAATAATAACAATAATTAACATTATTACCTATAAAATTAAAATATAAAGTGAAAAAAATAAATAAATATTGACACGTGTCCCATTAACCCAATAATCAAGTTAACAATAGTCAATAGGTAATACCGTAATAAGGGCCTGTTCCAATTGACTGAACTCAGCTGAACTGAATTGAACTGAACCGAACTGAACTTATTAATTAGTGGTTTTAACTACGGATTAGTGATCTTTGATTATTTATTGATTATTTATTACTATACATATGTGTATATACAAATGTACATATTAAAATATTTACGAAAAATATACTATATAATTATAAAATGTATGGAAAATATATTATAAAATGTATGGAAAATATATTAAAAACTTGAAACCTCTAAACATTTTAAACACATATACTATTTAATTTAAAAATAAAATAGTATTAGGACAAAAGAACACAAAACACTTACATGTATCTAACTCATTTAAACAAATTTTTTAAAAAATAATATATATATATATATATATATATATATATATATATATATATATATATATAAAAAGAACCAACAAGAAAAGCTAAAATTTGCTACGGCCCAACACCCTAACCCACTCTCTTTTCCTTTAATTAATAACAAATCTTACAAATAAAAAATAGAACCATTTGAACAATGAATTGTATCAATATTATTATTGTTATTATTTATTGATTATTATTATTAGTATTATTATAAGTATTATTATTATTATTATTATTATTATTTATTGATGATTATTATTATTATTTATTGATTATTATTATTAGTATTATTATTTCAATTATTATTGTTATTATTATTATTATTATTATTATTGTTATTATTATTATTATTATTATTTTGTTGTTGTCGTTGTAATAAGAGCTTAAAAGAATGAAATTTGGCTTTATATCATTAGCAATATCATTAGACATAAATTAAGAGCTGAGTTGAACTGAACTGAACTGAACTGAATTTCAACGAAACAGAACAGGCCCTAACTTGTTTGAAGTGAATGTCTCCAAAAGTTTATACTTCGTATTATTTTTTATTTGTTTTTGGCGGGCAGATTAAAATTTGTATTATTTTTGATAATTTTCCCTAAATTAAATGATAAATTAATCATTGATAAATTCCGTTAATATTGGACTGTATGATTATTTATAGGTGGTCTCCCATTCGCGCTTGGATTAGTGCATAAGCCCACAACATAGATGAAAATCAAAGCAATTGGAGTTGTACATTGTTCAAGCCAACATATCTAAGTGATGATGATGGTACACAAAAAATGCGACTTATGCATATTCAAATGGGTCACTATGCATGCTTGTGGAGGACCTCCAATGCCCCTTTTAATTTATGCTTATATGCAGCGTCAAGAGATATTAATAAAGAATTGTGTGATGTTTTCACTCTCGTAAACTTGTTTAAAATACCCTAGCGTGTCGCATTCAAGGGAAATAATGGCAAATATTTAGGTGCAGTCGAGCTAAAAAATCTTCCGTTTCTTCAATTTTCATTTGATAATATTAATGATCCTAGGGTCGCCCACGAGGTGTTTGAAGCTCCTGATGGTACACTTAGCATAAAATCGAGTTACTTCGGAAAGTTTTGGAGGATTGATAACGCTGATTGGATC